TCGGTTCTGCTTTAGCAGTCAAAAGGCATTTCAGTGAGATTTTAACAGACCACCTTGGATTGCCTGGAATGCAAACAGGGAGGAAGCTTTTCCACGGATCCCATGAAGAGAAGTTTGCACCAAGCGTTTTTTTTCCACAGAAACTTCTTCTCCTGAGCCTTCATGCAGGTATATGATACCAAATGATGCTATAAAAGTGTGTGTCTCTTAGAGAGCCAGTTCTCAAACAGCTTGGGTGTTGTCATTGCTTTTGGAGCAGAAATTGGCTACAGGAAAAGGAATATGCCACAGGAGCCGCATGGATTTCTGGCTGCAGCATCATCCACTTCAATACATAAATATTTACAGATTTTGACTTCTCACGGGAAAAAAAAAACAAACAAACCAACCCCACACCTTTGCTTTACTCTTTTATGGTGGAAAAGACATGGAAAATCTCTCACCACAACTCTACAAGAGTACAGTGACCTCAGTGGTATTTCGTTGCATCCCACTGTGAGAATGATAAAACATATTTTGCTATTCACCTGTATTTTTATTTCCTTTCCTCATTTTCTCTCTCTTACTTCTCTGACAGATTCTGTTTTGCATTTGGCAATTCAGGTGTCAAGTGCCAAGACACCCCTTGCATGTTTGATGTGGTCTGTTGTACTCCAGGAGAGCTTGCTAGTCACATCTTGAAATTGTGCTCTATAACAACAACAACTACCTGCCAAGGAACATTCAGTGTCAAGGGCTGGATTCTTCTTCTAGGGAAATCAAAGTTCATCTTGGTTTCCTTTGGGATTGATGACGTCAGGAGACCTCATTTTGCAGACAGCATAAAAAATACTATCCCACAAGAGCTTTTGGGTTGAAAAGGCCAGGTTTCTCCCACCAAGAAGAATTGGGAAAACCTTTGAAAACAGAGAGCATAAAACACACACATGCCCATGCACATACTGTCACGTTGCTGATGAAAACCCCCCTCATTTCCATGGGGGTGGGAGAGAGGCTGTAGCTGTGCTGCTCCAATTCCACACAAGCCATGGGGAACGCTTGTGCTGCCTCTCCTGCTGGCTCTCACCCAGGAGGACGTGTACAGACACACACTTAACACGGGGAGGTTATGACACCAAAAACTCTGTGTGTGTGTGCATGTGTGTGTGTGTGTGTTGGGGAGGGGGGTGGCCCCTCTCTTAGATTCCCTCAATAACCCTCTATTTTGAAACCACTCCTGCGATTCTTGTTTCTTTCTGCGATCAATTCAACATTGTTCCTGAGAAGCCGAAGGACTGCGACGTATAAAAGCCACACCTACTGCTGAAACGTACCCTGCTCAAAGTACCTCAAAGCCTAATTAGGATCCTGTGTCTATTGCTTCCCAAGTTAACTAGTTTTGAAAATCCATGCAGAAAATGGAATTTCTCCCCAAAGAAACCCACTAACCTTCCAAAACACTGCAATGAGGCTACTGCAAGGTGACATTCCTTGGAGCATTGCTGCAATACTGAAGCATTCACAAGGGAGGGACTGCACTGTTGCTCTTCGAGCAGATTTACGTTGGCATAATCCAACCCAAAAAGCCTATGAATAAAGATAAAATTGCCAAGTGTGCCCAGCTGAAAAACGGAAAACACGTTTTATCTTAGCTTAGAACTGTGGACATCATTGCCTGGCTGAATTCAGTGTCTGTAGTAATTCCACGTCCTGTTTATTAAATTAAAGAAAAAAAAAAATCCCTTATGACAGTTCCCCAGTGTGTTCCAGTCTTTTCTACGTGGAAGGCCAGACAGAGACCTCTGGGTATTTAAAAAAGGTCATCCTCAGCTTCAGCAGATATTGAGGTCAACTGCTCAGCTATTATTTATGTCCATTCCTCTCAAAGTAGTGAAATACCTGTCATCACTAGGCTGGATTTCAGCTCTGTAGAGGGCAATTATCAAAACCTAAACATCAATCTGTTAGAACTTAAACACATCTCCGTCCTCATAGCAAACTGACAGGGCTTTTCTAATTCTCGTCCAAATGCCGCATTTTCAGTAAATTTAAACCTTATGCAAGTAAGATACAATTTTCAGTGTATTTTACCATACTCTGAGTCTATGCTGAAAGTATTGCACAGGGAAAAAAAAAAAACCAAACAAACCAACACCACACCTTGCTTTTTCTCTTTTATGGTTGAAGAGACATGGAAAAGATCTCTCACCACAAGTCTGCAAGAACACAGCAGTAGCACTACTCATATTTCATCACACACAAACAGTTTGAAACATGGGAAGTAAATGGAAAACAACATTTTTGAAGCTGGACTGGTGTCAAGAATTACCTTTCAAAACCATTTGCTGTATTTTTTAAACTTGCCACATGAAAAAAACAACAACTTCGAATCAATTACAAACACTCCTGCAGACTCATTAGCTCCTGGAGACTTAATTTTCCAGGGTGCCAACTGCTCTAAAGTCACTGTGCTCAGCACTTTTTAGGAAGACACAGAAAGAATCATTTGATCACAGATTCTTTCTAAGGCAGGAAGGGAGAATTCCTACTGTCTAACCTCCCTGGACAAAGAAAAGGGAGGTTGAAAGGAAAAACCATGTCAGGGAAACCAAGCTGAGATGCTGAGAACTTCCAAGGCATGCATTTCCTAAGTCACATCCATCTTTCCCTGTGCTGTTAGGTACTTGGATGCCCTTACGTATACTGGTTTGTACCTACAAAGATGCAAAGTAAATGTGAGAGATGTATTCAATGTGGAATTATTCACTGTTTACTTCAAATTTGCTCCCTGGGGAACAGCTGAACTAGCTCTACTGTTGCTATTAAAGGTAGCAATGGCTCACCCATTGGCTCTATTATAAACTTGGGCTTTGAACTATAACAAAATAAAATGAAAAATATTTTCTCAGTGTGTTTCACTTGATTTCAAGAGAAATCACAATGCTGCTCAGTCAAGCTCTGGCTAAAAGTAAAGACACTGCAGTTCCCAGTGCTGGGGACTTGACAAAGGTTAAATGCCTTTTTAATCTTGGTAATACAAAGTGAGTGGCACAGCCTCACAGAAAAGTCAGCTTCTTGGAGACCAACTGAGCTGTTTGCAAACCCAAACACAATGTAAATTTCTGCAATACACTTTATCACGGTTTAGTTTTCCCTGAGGAGAAATTCGTATCTTCATCAGAGAAAGTCTGGCCTCAGGCAAATAGAAGCAGGCAAGTCAAATCCTGATCTCCTTACCCATTTCTCTGGATATCCCACTGCCTTCACTGGACAGGACACCCTCAGCCAAAGCTTATGAATGTTACTGCATTACTTGTTTGTTTGGGGAAACGTGCCATGCTCCACATCACTTCCACATCATCAATATTTTCAGCGCTACTCGCTGCTCTGCTGAGCTGTGTAGAGCAAAGCAATCCCTCCTGGCAGAAAATGGGAAGGAAGCAGCATCACAATGCCTGAATTAAGAGAAATGTCTTCCAGAGGTGTCATGACAGTAGTTCAAGGGAAGGAGGACAGTGGAAAGGATTGAAGAGAGTTTGAAAGGACCTGAGCAGGAAGAATAAGTCAATACAGATGGATTTTTCTCTTGTCAGAAATGTGTTAAAAGCTTTTTTCACGTTTCACAAAAGGATATATTACTATAATTCCTCTGCTTTCCGCACCTTTTCCCCCTGTATCCAAACAAATACAAGCTGATAGGCACCGTCTGTGTGGCTGACAGGGCCAGGAACAACACACTGCATGGTTCCCAAGGCATGGCAGCACCCAGCTGAGAGAAGGGTGGCTATTTTTTAACATAACATCTCAAACCAGTAACGACTTAGGAGGTTAATACACCTAGAAGCCTTTCAGACTGCTGCTTGATGATGAGTGAGATGTGATGGTGCTGGGAAGCTCATTGCCAGGGACAAGGCTCTGGAAACCACCCCGTGCCCAGGGGGTGGATTGGTGGGAAGACCCGCGAAGGAACAAATGTCCCCCCGTCCCTGCTCTGAGGGCACCGTCACCCAAAGACTTTGGTCAGGCTGCATTCTGTTCTGACTTTTTCTTTCACTGTCTCCCCACCCAACTTCACACAAATTCTTATAGAGGTTATGTACAGACTTGCACAAAATGGAGACTGACACTGGCTCTTGGAGGGTTTCCCAGAGCAAGTTTAAGAGAGATTATATAACACGTTACATCTGTGTTGGTTGGTTGTTTTTTTTTTTTTTTTTTATTTTTAATATAGATGTTATTATACTACTAGTCTATTCTTCCTAGCTTAACCCTCCAACCACCCTTTCAAACAGTTAATTACGTTTTGCAGAGATTAAAAACCTGAGGCTATTCTATGAGTTTTGTTTCCAGCCCTCACATAAGGCAGTGCAAGTGTGCTACAACTGGAGGGTCTCAGCAAGTCAAAACCACCATTATTTTCCTTTCAAACACACCACTACGAAGGTCATGAAGGGGGATCTTTAACGGATGTAACAGTGGAATTTTAGAGCCAACACAGAACTTTACTTTTATATTCTATTCTTTAATCAGAAATCTCTAAGTGATCTGCACAGCTTGGTCTCAGCTTCTGTGGTTGTGTCCCTTCTTCCCAAGACAATGCAATAGGATAAATCCAGCTTAAAATTATAGGGCACTTAAGGATATTGACTATTCCCGAAATATTCAGGCTAAGTCCAGTTCCAACAGAACTGAGTGCAAGACATAAAGCCCACCTTTGTGCAAAGCCATCTCCAAGATGCTCTTCCTGTTATTGTTGCTGTGGGTTTTCTTTCTTCTCCATCTCATTGTTTTTCTTGTGGAGTTTAGAAATAAACAATGAGCAGACTTAGAAGAAAAGAGGAAACCATCTACACATGCTTTCTACTCATCACTCTTCCTCCCTGCTTTTTCTTAGATTTTTGTTCTCCCAGCATATCCTCTTTTCACTGAGAAAAGGGGAACAAGTCCCCTCTTCCCTCTTGATACCTCTACTAGATAGCAAATTTTCGGAAAAATTCAGAGGAGAAGAATCAACATCTCACCTTTTTCTACTGAAGTAATCTCTGCCACTTTCTATACACCTCAAGCGTCTGATGGAGTCAAGCTCCAGAAACACATCTGCTAATCCAGTGCTGATGGGGTTAATGAGATCAAAGCCAGATTCCACTCTGTGCTTAGGCAGGGAGACACTTCCTAGCACAGGGCCAGGGTCACTGCAGCCCTCCTCCAGCTCACTTAAATCAGCATCAAAATAACACAAATCAGCCCCTACTCTGATTAGAATCAGAATCCTCAGTTTCTGTCTCCTTCCAACTCCATCAGCCCCCTCACCTCTCCACATTAAAATCAGTCAGTGATTAATTTCGGGGTAATTTTCCTAAATCACGTGTTTATTTTCAAGCACGCTCTCTATCTATTCTCCTCTCTCACCTTCCCCTCACCATCATTAATCAGTAAGGGCCTCACGTGCTCAAAGCAGGCGCTTACCTTCTCACCCGGCAGACAAAGTGATCCCAAAATTCAGCTCCCCAACAGCCAAGCAGGTAAAGAACAGCTCTCCCAACATCTTCTCTTAAGTCTTCCCGGCAAGGGCAGGAAGGGGCCTAACAAAGCTGTATGCAGCCAATTGTGTTATCAGGGCACTTGGCACTACCAGCTGATCCTTGATTACTATTCATCCCTCGGGAAAATAAAACACCCTTTTGTAGTAAAAGTGTAACCGGTTACTATGAGGCATTACACATTAACAAAAGCAGCTTTTTACCAAAATTACAGATGATGAAAGCCTGGAAGTGGAATCAGACCGAGGTAACCGGTTGTTTCTACATGTTTCAGATAGAAAACTGACAGTTTAACCAAGATTTTTACAGTGCTAGGAAGAAAGCGGTGGCTGAGCTATGTCACATATTTGTACAAAGAAAGGGTGGAGAGTTCTGTAAAACAAACTTTAACAATTTTCTGTTGCAGGGACCTTTCTGGTGCAGCATCCTACGTGTGCTACTGCCAGCACTGCAGTAACCTCAGTTTTCACGGGGTCTTGAACATTTGTAATAGGTCTTTCTGCCATTTTTGTGCTCCTCTCCAAGTTTTCAATATGCTTTCATATTTTCCTTTTTTTCCTTTTAACCTAAGAGAACTGCTTATTAAAGAGCACAGTTATCTGCAAGGCAGACTGTACACTAGGTAGAAGGGTAGAATTTGCTGGCTTGGTGGAATAATCCCTACTTAGGTGGTGAGGAAGCATTCCAGAATATTAAAGGATTTGTTTGTTTGCTAATCTACTTAAGCACCCATAGGCTTTAACACCCACAACTTGTGTGCTTTAGGGATCTTTCAGTGTCCGTGGCCACTCTCAGTGCAACAGCTCTGCATTAAAGCAGCAGGTTTAGACCCGAGGCAGCTCAGCAAGCTGAGGATGGGGCACTCATCTGCAAAGAGCTACACGGCTTTGGCCCAGCCACCCACCAAATCCTCCTCTCCACCCCTCACAGGCAGGGTTTGTTGCTCCAGTAGCACACACAAATCACTCTGCTGCTTGCACTCTGCACTCCTGCATCCAACCCAACCAACTCTGGGATAAGACAGCGATCCAAGCCCCACAAAACCCCCTCACACGTCCTGCAAAGAAGGCTGTGTGAACAGGTTTCACACCCTCAGTTTGGGGAAAACTCGCTGACAGAGAAAAGGGGTAGCTTTAAGCAGCATTAAGCAGGGCAGGCTTGATGTAAGCGGCTGCCCCTGTGTGAAATTCGAAGCTCTTGCCAGCGGCGTGGAGGAAAGACATGACCTCATTATTCCACAGCCCAGATAATCCGTTCCTGGACAAAGTGAGAGCTGACAAGTGTTTCACCTTGAGGGTTATCAAAGCCCTTTCCACACTTGGCTGATGCAGAGCCATTTTACCAAAGAGGGATGTGAAAACTCCTCTGTGTTGGTAAAGGAGATAAAAAAATCGTGGGGTGTGTGGTTAAGAGCACACTGCCATCCCACACACACACAGGTATGAGAGGAAGAGACCAATGGCATTTCCAGAACCATTTATGCAAACAGGATATATTTGCACAAGTTGATAAAATATTTTTCTCAATATTTTGAGAGTTGCTGCTCTCAATTCCTTTCATCTACCTCAAGGCACTTTCTCTAGATAAGTGCTTAGGGCCTCTCCCGACATCAGCTGCCCCTTCAGCACCTCCAGAAAGGTAGTTTAGCTCTCAGCTGGGATAAATCACTGTCTGGACCATCTTCCAGTATCTTTCCAATGCTTGCCAAGAGTGATTCCACTCCCCTCATCTTTAAGTTGGATGAACCCAAGCTCTACTGCCACGGTTTTCACACAGGCACGTGCAGACAACACACTAGCCTGAAATTTTGTTGGAAGGAATCACAGAATCATTTAGGCTGGAAACAAACCTCTAAGATCATCCAGTCCAACTGCTGGACCCACAATCTGTTTGAGCACTGGCTCCACACTAGTTCAAGGGGAAGGAATGTCATCTGGTTGCCATTGCCTCCTCTTGCAACACCTGCGCTCTTGCTGGAGGCCTGCCACGCAAACACAGAGCGGGGCTCTCTCCCCCTCACCACAGAGAAAACACACATCTCCTTTCTCCTATCAGGGCTCCGGAGCTGTTGGATTTAAGCCTGCAGGGAAGAATGGCACCATTTAAAATACTTAACGCACAACGTATAAAGCCCTGGTGGAAACGCGTGGCTACAGAGAAGATTAATGAATGAACGGGCAGCAGAAAGAGCAGACGCAAACCCCAAGATTAGGAGTAGGTTTCAGCTGAAATATGTGTCTTCCAGATGTTAGCCTGCCACGCAAAACATGCCCAAGTACAACTGCAATCCTGCAAGCCTCTTGCACCTATTCCCTCGGGAAAGCTCCTTATCAAATTGCACACATTAGATCACCTGCGGTGTTCTCTTTCATGCCAAAGAAAATACAAAAGGCACCAGCAAAAGCAAAAGACTTTGGGGTTCACAGGAGACGAAAATTATTCCAATTCACTACAACTATAACATTAAATACAAAAGGGTCACAGTGTAAAACCAATTTGCCAAAAGTACCTCTGCTCCCACAGCAAGCCACTTCCCACGGCCCTGACTGCGTCAGCAGGATTCCTCTTAGAAGAGTGAGGACCACATCTAGTTTTATCCCAACTTTGGGATCACAGGAAGCAAGGCAAGTTCTTTATGCCTGCTTTTCCCTAATTCTTCCAGGGGCCTTTGCCAAGGTTGTGATGGTGGGTGCCTGCCTTCCAGGCACGTGCGTGACCCCATCTTCCAGGTACAATTCCTCCTTAGTTCTCTCCTACCTACCACAAGATACTGGGATACCACAACATCCAGGCACTGGCATTTCTAGTGCTGGCAGTACCTTTTCACCCACCAATCAGTTGTTTTCTCTGTCAGAGCCAGGAACAACCAAAAGCCTCCAGGGTGAGTCCCTTCGCAGGCCTCACACTCACCTGTTGCAGAAGGCTCTCTTGCCCACAAACTTGTATCCATCACTGAACTTCATCTTTCTGGGCAAAACACCAGATTAACACCTTTGGCTTCCTCTTTCCCCGCTCTCCACAGCCCATCAGCAGAGTTTGAGGCCTCCTTCACCAGGAAACATCACCCCCAGCCTTCCCACAGCACTAGTGGACAGATGCTCAGTTACAGGAGCATTGTGTTTGGCACGTGCCCAGTTTCCGAAAGGGAATCACCACCCTCTGACATTTAAAATGAGTAAAGAAGCTAAAAGGAAAGAGCCAGCACACACAAACCACAAAAAAAAATTTCCACTTTAAGGACATAATGTTTGAAAGGGCTGACAAGTCTAAATTTAATGATTTTGAATAACCACCACTGAAAACGATCTTTATTCTGTCCCTGATGGTTTCTTCCCTCGCACCTGAGCAGAGTAAACTGTTTGTTCCGCTCTCCTTCAGAGACTGCAGGAAAACTACCCACAATAAACTTCATTCTTTTTCCAGGATTAAGAATTGTATACCGTACGTACAGTGAAAATCTGTTTTATGCATTAAGGAGAGAACACAGGACTGATTTTTTAAATTTTTTTTTTTTTTTTTTTAAGGGAAGACATTTTTGAATTTTGATCATAAATATTCTCCTGGTCATTTTTGGCAAACCTGTCAAGAGACATTTGATGCCATTTTGCAAGACGTTCTCATTGGAGGAAAAAGGTAGATTCTGTGTTTAAACAAAATGTGCATTGGAAAGCTGGATTTAAAGGTAACAATTCTGCAACTCAGGCAGTATTTGGGCCAAAAACTGACTGCAAAAGATAACAGCAGGCAGCAAAAAGACTGTGTTTCTACAGAACGTAAAGAAGTCCAGGAAGTAAGTCTCAGTTAAAAAGAGGATGGGAGAAAGATAGATGTTCTTCTCAGACGCCTTCTCTTCTGTTCACTGAGCCCTGATCACTTTATTAAAATAACATCTCACAGAAACACCCAAACAACAACAGGGATTAACCCAGCAGCAGAGAGAGATCCCCTCACTCTTTGATTCACTCTGCAGCACAGAGGTGTTCGGGCTTACACGGCCTCACACTGCAAGAGATTTGACGCAGAGCCAAGGCACGATGCGTTCAGTAAAACACACTGTGAAAAGTTCAGCTCTGAGCTAAAACCCACTTGTTCAAATGACAGGCCAACAGGAGATGCCTCTGGAGTGCTCTGTCCTACAGTGCCCTCATCAGTAAGTTCCAATGAGAGGCTCAGGGTGCAAAAGCTCTCGCCGAACTGGATTATGGAAGGATTACAGTGATTTGACCAAATCGTGTCTTGACCAAAAATGAATTTTTGGTTATTTTTGCAGAATTCTGATAAGTGAGTTTCAAGTTGCTTAGCCCATGATAACAGCATCCTGTCATGGGGAATCATCATACCTGTCTTTAAATCTCAATTTATCAGTGGCTTGGGAGGGACTAAGATCCTGAAAGGCGTCAAACTGGCAAAGTTTCCCGAACAGAACTTTTGGGAACAACAGACACCCAGGGACTTCAAAACTTTGTCACCGCCTGTTTTTTTTTTAAAGAATACCTTACTCAAAAAAAAAAAAAAAAAAAAAAAAAAAAAAAAAAAAAAAAAAAAAAAAAAAAAAAAAAAAAAAAAAAAAAAAAAAAAAAAAAAAAAAAAAAAAAAAAGTCAAATTCCACAAACTCAAGGGTAAAAAGGGGATCTTCTTGCATCCAAAATCACTTTGGGCAGGTAGGTATGTACCATAAATGTGGTACCATGTGGGTGAGAGAATAAATATTTGCAGGGATGAGTTTTTTTCCCAAGTCACAAACAACAGACATAGGCCAGCATTCTGTCCTAAACATCCTACAATTCAGTGTGCAAAATTCCCTCTGATGGCAGCAGGAGTCCAGAAATGGAAAGGGCAGCCAGCTCTTACCCACCTCCCTTGCAGCTTCTCAGTTCCCATTCATGCCTTGGTGCATGTTCCCCATAAATCTGAGCGCTTCCCAAGGAATGGCCACCTCGTTTTGCTACTCATACAGAACATCACAGAGTGTTATTTTTAGGCTACAAAATTACAGACAGAATTCACTATTGGCAGTAAAAACTGCAGTCTCTCTTTACTCCCTTCAGGAACAGACACTGGAGTAAAGTGCCAGGGGATAAAGGTAGGGCATTTAATTTTTGGAAACATCAAAAATGTAATGGTTGTGATAAATGGTTCACATCCTGAACTCCAAGCTGGAGTACAGAGAATTTAGAAAAGAAGACTAAAGTAGCTTCATTTGCAGTCATGATCTCCAAGGTAAACTTTTCCCCTTCATAATTTTCTTAATTCCCTCTGCCTTTGGACTATTAAAGAGACTAACAATGAAAAAAAAAAAGAAAAAAACCTGCACATAGATCAGCTGAACTAAGTAAATGACCTGCTTTTCCTCATCCCTTAATCCTTGTCAGTGATAGTAAAATTACATGCTAATTACAGAAACAGTAGGTTAGCATAAAAGTAATAGAAAAGTGGTCATTTAAAACCAGCAGATTTCTACTTAAAAGCTACAAATTGTGTATGGT